TTGCAGAGGGTGCACTCTATGCCATCTTCCAGGTCAGTGATGAAGATATTGAACAAAACTGGCCCCAGGACCAAACCCTGGGGCACTCCACTTGACACCAACTAGACATGGCAGACATTGGGCTGCCAACTAGACATTGAGCTATTGATTAGTACTCTCTGATCCCTGTGCTCCAGTCAGTTTTCTATCCACCTTACAGTCCATTCATCCAGCCCATACTTCCTTAGCTTGCCTGAAAGAATGTTGTGGGAGATGATACCAAAAGCCTTGCTAAAATCAAGATATATCACATCCACTGGTCTCCCCCTATCCACAGACCCGATCACCTCACCATAGAAGGCGATAAGGTTGGCCAGGCATGACTTGCCCATGGTGAATCCATGCTGACTGTTCCTAATCACCTTATCTTCCAAGTGCTTCGAAATGGATTTCTTAAGGATCTGCTCCATGATTTTTCCAGGAACTGAGGTAAGGCTGACTGATTTATAGTTCCCTGGATCCTCCTTTTTCCTGTACTTAAATATGGGCACTATGTTTCCTCTTTACCAATAATCCCAGACCTCTCCTGACAGCCATGAGTTTTGAAAGATGATGGCCAGTGGTTCTGCAATCACATCAGGCAACTCCCTCAGCACCCTTGGTTGCATCCCTTCTGGACCCTCAGACTTGTATATGTTCAGCTTTTCTAAATACTCCCTAACCTATTCTTTTACTGCTGTTGGCTGCTCACCTCCTCCCCAAACTGTACTGCCAGGTGCAGTAGTCTGGGAGCTGACCTTGCTTGTGAAGACTGAGGTGAAAAAGGCATTGAGCACTTTAGCCTTTTCTGCATCCTCTGTCACTAGGTTTCTTCCCCCATTCAGTAATTGACCCGCACTTGCCCTGATCTTCCTCTTGTTAGTGACATATTTGTAGAAACCCTTCTTGCTACCCTTTATGTCCCTTGCTAGCTGCAACTCCAATTGTGCTTTGGCTTTCCTGACTTCATCCCTGCATGCCCAAGCAGTACTCTTATACTCCTCCCTAGTTGTTTGTCCAAGTTTCCACTTCTTATAAGCTTCCTTTTTGTGATTTAGTTTACTGAAGAGTTCTCTGCTAAGCCAAGCTCATCTTCTGCCATAATCCTAGTCTTCCTGCACATCGGGATGGTTTGTTCCAGCACTCTCAGTAAGGTTTTCTTAAAGTACAGCCAGCTCTCCTGGACTCCACTCCCGCTCCGACTGGCTTCCCAGGAGATCCTGCCCATGAGTTCCCTGAGCGAGTCGAAGTCTGCTTTTCTGAAGTCCAGGGTCCTTACTCTGCTGCTCTGCATCCTTCCTTTCCTCAAATCTAGCAGTCAGAGAGGAAGAATTGAAAATCTATCACATGTCCTGCTTAGGTTCCATAAAGAGCTGCGTATATTCAAAATGTCATCTAAAAATAAATTTATCTGTACATTTTTTTAAAGCAAGAAGTACCTTAGATCTTATCAATAGGCTTTCTCATGGAGTGGAAAGAAAGACAAATAACATTTTACCAACAAAACTTAGAAATTATAGAAAAGTGGGGATGTTCTGTATATTGTTTAAATATGTTCATTATTGCAAATGAGAATTGTTTAATTAAACAAAATGCAATACACAAAAATGGGAGGAAAAAAATAAATACATACAAGTATTAGGTTTGTATTAGTAGCACAAACTAATAACCATGCTCTTAGACAGTCTTAATCTAAATATATATTAATGCTATAGTTACGATTCAAATGGCTCTCCTACTCTTAGTCATAATATCCATCTACACTCATCAATTACCCATCATGAATGACAGAGTGTTTAAGGGAGTGTTTACATGCCCCACCCCCAACACCCTTCAGGGCTGGCCATGTAAACCGTCCCCCGGTTGCCTCCTCCTCCAGCCTCCAACATGGCAGCTCCCTCCACCCATCTGCCTCTTTCCTCCTGCAGAACAGTGGAGCAGCAGGGCTTCCCTCCACCTAACAAAGAGGCAGCAGCTGCAGGACAATGGCAGTGGTTCCCTCCCCCTAGCCCACCTGCCTCTGCCTCCTCCCCACAGAGCAGCCAGGCTTCCCTCTGCCTGAGATGGCACTGGGTCTCTCTGCCCTGCCCACCCTCCTCCACCTCTGTCTCTTCCTGTGGAGAAGCAGGGCTTCCCTTCGCCTGAGGAGGTGGCGGCTGCAGTGGCTCCTCTCTCCCCGCTGCCTGCCTCTAACTCCTCCCTGCCTCAGAAAGGACAGTCCCCGCAGCCAAATATTGCTGGCCCTCTGGCTGGTGCATGAGCAGTTGCCCAAAAGCATGGACAGACAGACACCCAGACTCAGCCCTTTAGAGAGAGAGAGAGAGAGAGAGAGAGAGAGAGAGAGAGAGAG